TTTGAAAATCACCGCCATTCTGGTCACTCATATCCTTCGGGCTGCATATGGTGCCGTATTCAGTATGTATCTCATGCTCATGTCGAGGTGGCGGCTTATTGTTCCGATGCAGTACTCCGATGGTCTTCTCTGCTTGCGCCAACCATAGATTGTACTGCTTGCTGCTGTCCCGCATGTCTTGCTTGAGTGGTATCGGTTCCAGCGCTGCCATCTTATCTGCCCATATCTGCTGGCGTTGCATGTCAGCGTGCGAGGCCCCCTTCTCAACTGGTGGCAGTCCTTCCCGAACGAGGCGTCGTCCTGCGCTGGCGTGTGCTTCCTGCTGTTGAAGGCCTCGTCCGCGTTCTTGTAGTTTGACCAGGGTGCTCTGCACTATGTCGGCCCTGTTCCACCAGTCTGTTCCACCAGACAGCTGCACTGTCTTATAATCGCAAGGGTGCCCACGCCCGCAAAATACTGCTCTGCTTGCCCAATCCACTTTGTAAGCCATGCAATAATATTTCTCCAGCGTGCCGATGAACTGGTGGCGTTGCCGCCCTAGTCGTTCAGTACCGTTCAGGTCGGTCTTGTATGCTGCACTCAGCTTTATGTACTCGGGGGCTGTGTCAGTCGACTCCAAGGCTTGCAGTTGCGCTGCCACCTCCCAAGTATCGTCCATGATTGCGCTGATCACCCCTGCTGCTTTGTCCGCGATCCGCTGCTGCATCGTCTGTGAGGAGGTCCTGTGGGTTTCCTTCGACAGGTCCGACGAGTTGGTCGTGGCTGCATTTGGGTCGTGCATGGTCTCATCCGTGCTCTCCGCCTTTTGAGTAGTATCCTTCGCCTCTGGTGTGTCCCAGGCCCCTTCGCCATCTTCGGGCATGAGTATGTTGCTGTCCGTGTTGAGAAGAAGGTTCGCATCTAGATCGACGAAGGGGTCTATGTCCTCGCTGTCCATTTGTGTGACGACTCGTCTTGGGACGGGTCCGCTGGTCTCGACGTCAGCGATCGCCCCAGTCTGGTTTCTCTTACAACCGTCTGGTCCAAGGGCTTCCCATCTCGCCGTGTCGGTCTCGGCGACCTCGTCATCGGAGAGGTTGTCAGATTCGTCCAGGACTGGTAGCGCTGCTTTCTTCTTCTTTTTCTTTGCTGCTTTGCTGTGGGGGTTGGCCTTCTTCGACAGCTTGGGGTGGGGAGATGCTTTCGGCATACATAATCTTCTGCATTCGTTCACCTGCGCCGCTGCCTGCATTGTAATAACCAGCCCCACATGTGGCTTCCCAGGTACATCGTGAACAGCGTGTATACCTCGAACAAGTTTCTGGCCACCAGGATTGACCAGGGCGTAGCCTATGTTCGAGGGGGTCGCGTCACCTAAGAAGGACGTGTTCTGGCCCTCTGGCAATTGGACCACGCCCGTCGCGCCCAGTGCCGTCGGCCACCCTGTCTTCTCGAGTGCGTCGAACTCGCAATTAAAGTCGCCGCAGATGATCCACGGCACAGAGGTATTATGTAGGAATGCCGCGAGCGAGGTCAACTTCCTGTCGTTTACCCCGTCGGCGAGGGAGGCGTTCGGGTCCAAGTAGAGGGAGATGATGAGCAGCGATGTGCCCTTCAAGTGGAGCGTGACTGGCGTCCAGTCGATCATATCCATGTCGCACGGCCCTTGGAGAGTAGCCACACTCGAGGTCGTGTCTGCCCGTGCCTTTTGGCGTAAAGAGGTAGCCTTCAGGTGGCCCTTGGTGATGACAGCTGTGCCACCGTGGGGCCCCTTCAGGCTCTTCTCGCTCTGCCTGGCTTCCGTGAAAACTGCTGAGAACCCAGATTTCTGCAGCTCGTATTCCACGTCATTAAGTTGTGCCTGTGCCAAGTGTGTTTCCTGTAGCGCATAAGCATCATAGTATTGCTGAAGCCCGTCGCGTCGGATCCAACTCTTGGCCGTAGGTCCCCACGTTGATATGTTGGCGAAAAAGATCGTGCGGTCCAGGGGCTCGGCGTCGCCAACGGGTCGCCTGCCCCTCCGCGGTGGTCCCTAGTGCTGGCCTGAGCCAGCGCTTGCCCCTCCGCTGCCGGCAGCTGCCTCCTCCGCCTTCCTGCGCTGCTCCAGGAAGGCGTCTGCACCGTCGACGAGGATGTCGTCGGGCTCGCCTGCAGGTGCGGGTGCTGCTGCTGGTGCTGGGGCCGCTGCTGGGGCTGCCTGCGTCTCCTTCGATACTTCACCTGAGCCCGCCTTCCGCTTCTTGTAGGCCTGGGTGATTGTGGCGCGCTCCTGCTGTGCTTTGTCTTTCGCCTGCTGCAAGTGGTCTTTCAGCTGGCCCCTGAAGGTTGATGCCGTCTGCCGTAGTTGTTCCAGGACTTGCTTCTTCGCTAATTCCACTTGCCGCTTTCCTTCTTCATCCATGTCCTCATCGTACTGGAAGTGCGCCTCGACCTCGGCGATCTCGATCTCCGATGGCTGGATCATCTCCGTGTCTGCGTTCAGCAGCTGGTCGAAGATGCTCTTCGGCTTCTCTTTGCCCTCCTGCTGGATCATCTCTATTTCCTTCTCCGCGTTCAGGACGTCGTCGGCACTGGCCGTGAGCCACTCTGTTGCCTTCTTCGCCTTCTCGTCCGCCGACTGCTTTGCATCGAACGCCCATTTGTATTTTTTGTTCGCGTCCTCGAGTTTCCTTGCTGCTTCTGCCAACCGTAGTGCTCGGGACTTGGGAACCTGTGCTGGGGAACTCGCCGCTGCTTGGAGTGCCGTGGCCACACTCGTAAGCTGCTTGGCGATGCCGTCTTTGTTGTCGCACTGGAGGGTGGCCAGGGAGCTCGTCATCGTCTGCAAGGCCGTGGCTATCTGCGCAAAGCCCTTCTTTTGGTTGGAGCCCGTGGCACCGTCAGTACGGTACTGCTTGTCTTTGTCCATATCCTTGCCCTTGCCCTTGCCCTTGCCTGCGTTGCCGTCGCCCTTCGACATATCTCCTTTGGGCCTAGCAACTCGGCAGCCACAGGAGCACCAGTAGTCGCGCGACTCCATCTGCGATGTCCACCACCACATCTTGCACTGCTTGCACGTCGTCCACTGTGTCGGGAGGAGGAGGAGGAGGAAGAGGAGGAGGAGGAGACCCACGGAATCCAACCACGAAATATGGACGCGTCCAACCTGCTAGAGCGACAAGCGGCCGACCTTCGAGCACGGGCGGCACGGCCTGCAAACAACAAACAGAAGTGCAGAGAGATGGGCGCAAGCACAGGGCCCCGCTGCCCTTCCCTCGTTGTCGCCTCTTTGGGCCTCCTCGGGGGACCCTCGTCGCCACGGCTGGATTCGCCTCGAAATGTTGGTCAGAACGCACCTGGGGAAAGGTCCGAAAGGCAGCGGTATCGGTATTTTTTTTCTCCTGGGGGAGGGCGGCGGGGGGGGAGCGGGAGCGAGGAGGAAGGGAGAGGACGGCAGGAGGGGGAGAGGAGGGGAGGACGAAGAAGAGGGAAAAGCAAGGAAGAAGGAGGGAGGAGAGGAGGCGAGGAGCTGGGAGCGGAGGGAGGGCGAACGCATGCGGGAAGAGGAAGAAAGACCGGAGGAAGGGAGAGGACAGACGCCTCACGATGACTCACGTCATGTCCGTCCCCTTCTTGACGAAGGAGGGAGACGAGGAACGTGGATGTCAAACAAAAGAAATGAGAAGGTAGAGTCAACAGGAGAAAAGACATCTGCGGATGTTGGATGTCAGCCAGGGTGGTGGATGTCAACTGGAAGAGGGACGCCTTACAACGGGAGGGCTTCTTGATATGCCCTCTTGGGAGCCTCCAAGGATGTCTCGGGGCTCTGCCTGGAGGTTTCTTCGAAGCCCTCTTGGAGGATTTCTCGGGGCCCTCTGCGGGCATTTCGGGGCCTTGAGGGCCGACTACGGCTCATGAGGCCGTCGACAAGGCCTCCTGAGGGTCGCTTAAGGGCCCGTTGGGGCGTCGTGGGGCCCTGCTTGAGCTCTCCTGGTCTCTTCTTGAGGCCTTCCTTCGGCCTTCCACCGACGGCATGACGACCTGGAAACGTCCAAAAGCGAAACATCTTGCAACCTCGGGGGCAGCTTGCAGCACTCTTGGAGACTTGATGAGACCCTCTTGGGGCGTATTGAAGGCATCTTGGGCTTACCTTCGGCTCTTGGGGCTATCAATGAGGCTTCTCGGCACATCACCCGGCTCTCGTGTCGACCCTGGAGGCACCGTAGAAAGCGTGATATGGCCTACTGGTTCATGCGGCAAGTCTTCTGCCAATTTCCGCTGGCGTTCCCCGCGTGGCGTTGGGCAGATTTCCGGAGACCCCCCACGCGGACACGCAACGGGAACGAATCGCCAGATCACCGAACCCTGGCGAGCAATTCGTTCAAGACGGGTGTATCCTGGCCAGTCTTCCGAGCCGCGAAATCAATGCCGTGGCCACGAGAGGCTCCAGAACGCCGAGAAAACCTCCACAACCACGTGGACGATGCTTACGACGACGAAGACTACGGTGACGTCGACGACGGCTGCGACGACACTAAGACGACGGCGACGGAGACAGCCACGACAGCGGCTGCGACGACGGCGACGGCGACGACGACGGTTGCGACGATGACAACGGCAGCGACATCGAGGATGGCCACAATGATGGCTTAGTCGTCATCTTCGTCGTCGTGGCCGCCGTCGATGTCGTGGCCGCCGTCAATGTCGTGGCCGCCGCCACCGCCGTCGCCCTCGCAGCCGTCGGCGATGTCGTCGTCGAAGTCCTCTTACTCCAGGGCCAACCAGGATAGAGGAGATACACCTGCGATATGCCCCTGATAGCGGAGACGCCCGGTCCTGGGCGGGAGTGGGCCACCATACTCACCATACTGATCAATGGGCGATTGGGGATCGATGCGAGACCCCCCCCCAAACCATCCCCCCCTATCGCTGCCCCTGCTCGTCGTCGAAGTCTTCCTCCTCGCGCAGCCGCCGCCGTCGTTTTGGCCGTGTGGGCCACGACGGCGGCGGCGGCGCGAGGCGAGGCGGGGCGGGCCCCGCGCCTGTAGCTGCTGGCCGCCGCTCCGTGGCCCCGCCTTGGGGGGAGGGGGGGGGGGCGGAGCGGGCTGGCCGCGCGCAACCAGCCTCTCCTCCTCCCCCACCTCCCTATCCTCTCCTCCCTCCTCTTCGTCTGCTCTCTCCTCCTCCACGCCCTGTTCTCCTCCTCCCGCCCTCTCCTTCCCTCCCGCCCCTCCTCCCCGTTCTCTCACCCCTCCCCCTCCTGCCTCTGCTTGCCCTCCTCCCTCTCCTCTCCGCCTCATACACCCCGTCCTCTCCTCCTCCGCCTCGTCCCCCACGGGATGCCCAGGCGGCTCCAAAGATTAGCAAGTCCAAGGCGATCACAATCCGAGGGATGTGCCTTCACTCTCGAATATGAGAGGGTCCTTAAACTTGGCACCGAGATGAGGAGATGTCGGTCATAGAGATAAGGAATCTGCTTGAGACTGCAAGCGCGGGCGACAATCGGCGATTGGCGAGATCGCCGGTCGCCAAACGTCACCGTCGGCGGTTGTCGATGGGCGCCGTCGGTTGCGCCGCCGCCGCCGCCGATCGATGATCGCTGGTCACAGGTCGCCCCCGTGGACGATAGCCAATCGCCGATCGCCGCCGTCGGTAGCACCGTCGCCGCCGCCGTCACTGCGGTGGGGAACTTTCGTTCCGCGTATCGCCGCGGCAGCCCCAGCAAGCGTGCGCTACGCTCCGCAGGGCGGAAGGCTCGGACAGGCTCGGGACGTTAAAGCCTGGTGGCTGGGAAGTGGATTGCGTGACGCGCCGATGCGTGGCAGGCCAGAACCGGTGGAGCAACACGCTATTCGGGTCGGGCGAAAGGGGGGGATAGCAAAGGGGGGGTTTGAGAATCAGCTCGCGTAGCTGATTTTCCCGGCGCCTCCCGGCGCCGGAGGCGGCTATGTATCGAGGAATCGGCCCCTCGGTGAGGCCGAAACCAGCTGCATGCAGCAAATTTCGTAACCCCCCCTTTCCCAATCCCCCCCTTTCGCCCGACCCGAGCTATCCACAAATTCTTGACCGTAGGGGAGCAAAAGAAGCACTTATGAATAGCACGTTGCCGTGGGGATCCCATCGGCGTGATAGTGTTGAGAAAACACGCAGGGTTTCGGGGAAAAGCGAACGAGTAGCACGCTGACGGGTTGCCCACTGCACGGCATGTCACTATTACTCGGTGTCCCTCCAGGGCCACCGTCGCCGTCGCCGCCGGTGGACCCCCACCTCCTCTCACCATGAGATTACGATGGGTGTTTTTGACAATGTCATGCCTCTGGTAGGGCTCTTACTGGGCCGCGGGAGATGTCAATGAAAAACCTCTCGGGATGAGCGGTCGAGCGTGGTCCAGACCTCGATTGGGTCCACGATGTCCGAGGCAGAAAGATCACCGAGAACGGACGAAGACGTCTGAAAACCTCGCACCTCGAGTTTCCTCCCTGGGCCGGCAACCCCTAGGCACGAGAGCGCAGAATCGAATCGATAGGTCGGATCGCCAATCGACATGGATCGGATCGGCGGAAATCGGCAGCCAAGTCTGGAGAAGTCGAATCGGCGGAAAATCGGAGAGCCAGTAAGGCCTCCATTGAGCAACCGAAATCCAGATCAGAATCCGAAGCCAAAACAAGTCGAGTCGGAGGAGTCGACATGTGCCCCGCCTGGGCCAGTCCCTGGTTCCCCCTCAGTCCTCCACGTACTGCAGGCTCGCGCAAGCGTCGGCGCAGCGGCGGCCCCAGGAGCGCCGGGCGCTGAAGGAAAGGGTGAGCGCCGCCAGCGAGCTCCCGGAGCGCTTGTCGGTGCCGAGCGGTGTGCGCCAATAGAAGGCCGCGACACCGCTCGAGCTTGAGCGATCCAGCAGACCCTGAGATCCGACGTCACCCAAAATTCAAGCTTGTAGAAAACCACGCCTGGGGACCTGTAGAGCCCATATGTCTGCGTCACTTGTCGAGCCAGATCGTATCCGTGGGCCTCGGGGCCCGAAACTGGGCCAGGATCTCAGGGGAGGCCAGCAGTCCCCCCCTGTCGCTGCCCCGAAGGACGAGGTTAGGGTTCATCCTTGGGGGACCTCGTCTGTCCCATCGCGCCAGCTATTGGTGTCGAATCCGCATGGGACCCATGTCGAACGCGTCGAGTCCATGTCGAGTCCGCGTCGAGTCCATGTCGGAAATGCGTCGGGTCCACCTCGAACCCGCGGCGTATACAAGGGAAGTCCGCAGCTTACTGGACAGACAAAGCCCCGCGAAGATGCTACGATGAGGATTTTTTGCTTGGCGTGTCGCGGCGGCGGCCACGGCGACACGCTATGCCCTCCGAGCGGATAGCGTGTCGCTCCGCTCCGTGGGGCGGGAGGCGGGGATCAGCTCGGGACGTTGCTGCCTGGGGACTGGGACGTGGATAGCGTGTCGCGCCGAAGCGTGGTGGGCCAGAACAGGCGGCGCGACACGCTATCCAAAGCTCCCCGACCAACCGCCCTGAAGGACGAGGAGGACAGGGGCGAGGAACTGTCCGCACCACCTCGTCGCCCCACCCCTAATGATGATGGTGATGATGATGAAGATGGAGGTGATGATGATGCTGCTGCTGATGATGATGATTCCGATGATGCTGAAGCTGATGATGATGATGATGATGCGGATGCTGTCGATGCCGCTGATTATGGTGATGATGATTACGATGCTGATAGTGATGATGCTGCGGCAGTTGATGATGATGATGATGATGATGATGATGATGATGATGATGATGATGATGATGATGAGATGGTGACTGTGATGGTGGTAGTGAGGGTGGTGGTAATCGTGATGTTGTTGATGATGAGGATGATGCTAGTGCTGCTGAGAACGATGAGGGTGATGACGCTGGCGATGATGATGGTGATGATGATGATGGCGATGCTGAGAATGATGATGATGACCATGATGATGTTGATGGTGATGGTGATAATGCTGATGATGATGACAGTGGTGAGTATCGTGATGATGATGGTGACGATCATGATGAGGGTGTTGATGCTGATGCTGCTGTTGGTGATGTTGCTGCTGATAAGGATGATGGTGTTGTTGATGATGCTGATGATGCAAATGACGATGATGATGCTGATTCTGATTATGATGATGATGCTGATGATGATGCTGATGATGATGATGATGATGATGATGATGATGATGATGGTGAGGATGATGATGCTAATGCTGATGATGCTGATGCTGATGATGATGATGATGATGATGATGATGATGATGATGATGATGATGATGATGCGGCTGCTGACGATGCTGATGCTGATGCTGCTGCTGCTGATGATGATGATGATGGTGATGCTGATGCTGCTGATGGTGTTGCTGATGTTGATGAGGAGCATGCTAATGTTTTTCCTAGCGCTGCTGAAATACGTGGTATTTCGCGGCAGGGCGAAATTTGGGCGAACCCCAACCTTTCAGATCTCGGTGTGTGTCTTCGGTAGCAAACGCTCTCGAGCTCCTGGCTAAGGGTCGAAACGTTCTGGTACAACTGGCATTATGCTGCAGACCGCGCCGCCTCGGCGCCGCCCCCCGCCCCACCCACGGGCCACCCCGAACTCTGGCTCAGCGCGCCGTCCGCCGAGGCCCGGTAGAGGAACAGCGAGGTGTGTGCCTGCTTCGGGCAAGGAGTTTCCCCTTCTCGTGCCCTCCTCCCCCAAGCCCTCCTCCCACTCCTCATGCCCCCCTCCCCCTCTTGGTCCTCTCCTTGAACTCCTCGTCATCCTCTTCCCCATGCACTCCTCCCCCGCGCCCTCCTCCCACTCCTCATGACTCATTGATGAACTCCTCCGTCTCCTCGTGTTCCTAAGCACCTCCTTGACCTCCCCCTCGCCCTCCTCCTCCTCCTGCTCCTCCTCCTCCTCCTCCTCCTCCTCCTCTCCGTGCCCTGCTCCCCCATGACTTCCCCCCCCTCGACCCATTCCCACTTCTCCTTCCCTGACCCGCCTCCCCCTGCTCATCCCCCTCCCTCCACTCCGACAGGGATGGCTCGATGGCTCTGCAGCGCGCGTTGCGCTCTTGTGTGCGTGCCTCGATTCCGCTCTCGCGTTTACTTTTGCCTGCGGCACCTGCGTTTCGCCTGTCCTCTGTTCTTCTGAAACCTGCCTCTTCGGAAATAAGTCAAAATATGCTCCATGCGACATGATCCTCGTCCCTGTTTTGTCACTTTCCCCCCCATCCACCCCTCATCTGTAAAGGAAGACGAGAAACTCTTCCGGAACAACTTCGTCCGAAACAATTTCTTCCGGAAGAGCGTTCTTCTGGAAGAACTTGCCCGGAAAAAAATCGCCCGGAAGAACATGTGTCGGAATATATACGTATATCTGTACATTCCACGAGGAGTCGTTCGGAAAAAGACCGAGAGAACAACAAAAAAAAAACACGCCCAGACAAAACTTCCTCGGAAGAGCTACCCTCTCGAGCGCGAAAGATACCCGTACCCTTACCTGGGCGGGGTGGCAAGGGGCGGGGGGAGCGACGCGCCGCAGCCGACGGCGGTGGTACAAGTACAGATGCGACGGCCCATGGAACATTACAGGACGCTGTATCTTCCGGGCCGCTGGCACCGAACGCCAGGCGCGGTCGCCAGGGGCTGCTCCCTGGAAGACCCGCCTGGTATCACCCCAGCTAGGTCCGGGTATGTGTCGGGGGGCACAGTCGCGGACGCGCGTTGATGGTACCCCCAGACACGTACCCGTACCTAGTCGAAGTGGCGTTTGGTCGAAATCGCTCTCGGGGGCACGCGCGGCCCCCGAGAGCGTTCCCGAACGCGGCAGCAGCGGCCCCCGGGGGAGCGTGAGATTGCAACGACGTTCCTGCGGGAAGGCCCAAACGCAACGGAGTGGTGGTGCCTGTCCCCAAATGGGACAGGCACCACCACTCCAACGCTGTCCTTAAAACCGCGGACACCCCCGATGCCCCCAGACCCCCAGACGTCCATGACGCAAACCAGTGCATGCCGCTGCAATCAATCAACCAGCCGTTCAGCGTGCCGTTGCGTCCTGACGCGCGGATTCTGAAACAGTTTGCACACGGCAGGCTGATCGGGCGCAGTGGCAAGCGCCCAATCCAGCGGGCGGCCCTTTTGACCCAGGCCGACCCCGGGTAAGGGTATGTTTAGGACCAATGATACCCTGCGGAAAGTCGCCACCAGGATGCAGATGTGGTCTCAGCTGTCGAATAAGCTTTCTCGAATATGATGCGCGGGAGAAAGACGACGACGTGCGCCGCCCGGAAAAAACACACACGCCCTGGAAGAATTCACCCGGAAGAAGTCACCCCAGACGAAGACGCCCTGGAAGAAGTCGCCCAGGAAGAACGCCTATCTGAAGAAATCGCCCAGATGAGGTCGCCCTGGAAGAACTCCTCTCGGAAGAAGTCGCCTGGAAGACTTCGCCGCGGCATTGCCACGTGATGAATAAAGCGGAGGTATCTTTCTTGTTCGCTACCCATGACATTGCCACGTGGCGAGTGGAGTGGGACAGCACTTGTGTTTGCCTCTCAGGCCTTGCAACGTGGCGTTGCCATGCGACGAGTAAGAGTAGAGTATTTTGCGTTCCCAGCCCACTTTGTTGCCACGTACTCAGGCGCTGTAGCGTGGCGAGTACAGTTGAGTAGTATGGGTTCCCCCCTCCGAGCGTGGCCACGTGGCAAGGAGACTGGAGCAGTGTCTGTTTCCTTCCCCGGGGTTGCCACGTGGCGCGCGCGAGCGGGCACGGCGCGCGCGGGCGGGCGGCCGCGCAGGGCGGCCGGGCGGGCGCGCGGGGGGGCCGGGCGGGCGGGCGCGCGGGCGGGCGGGCGCGCGGGCGGGCGGGCGGGCGGGCCCGTCATCGTCGTTGTCGTCCATCGTCGTCGTTCTCGTTGACGTCGTCGTCGTCATTGTTGTCTTCGTCCGCGTTGATACCACCTTCCGAATAGATTTTGGTGTTCGCCTCCGCGGCGCTGCCACGTCGAATGCAAGAGAGTTGTGCGGTTTGGCAACATTGCATGCACACTTGTACTGTACTTTGTTCACCGGCCTGCCGTCGCCCCGTTGCGAATGGAGTGGCGCTCTATGTGTTCCCGCCCGGCGGCGTTGCCACGTGGTGAACATAATGGGATATTGATGTTGCCCCCCCCCAAGACGCTGCCACGTGGCGAGTAGAGTTGGACTTTACATCCTCGGTCCGCGCGGCATTGCCACGTGATGGGTCGAGTGTGCTTATTGTTTGTTGCTCGCTCCCCGTGCCGTTGCCACTTGGCGAGTGGAGTGGGATAGTATTTTTGTTTACCTCTCGAGGAATCAGTTATTCTCGCTCCGCTTCGCTGCCACGTCCCAAGTAGGATGGAGTAATCCTGTTTCGCCCTGCAGGCGCTGCCACGTGGTGAGGACAGTGGGGTAGTATGTGTTTCCCCCCTTCGGAGCGCTGCCACGTGGCAGGGAATGTGGAGCAGTATGTGTGTGTGTGTGTGTCATTTTCCCGGTGTTGCCACGTGGCGAGTAGACTGAAACATAGGAGATAGTGGGTGAGATCTCAGTGGAACGGAGACCCCAACCGGGAAATCGATTCGTTTCGATCGTGTCGCGAGTGCGGGCGTGGCGAAGCTGCGTGGGCGCGCGAGAAGAATGAATCCGCCGTTGCTAAGGCGAAATCATGACAAATGATTTCCCCCCGTACGTCCGTCCGTCCGGCGGTGGCTCGCGGTGTCCAACGGTGTCCCGTGGCGTCCCGTGGTGTCCCGTGGTGCCCGCCGTTGCTGGGGCGAGAGCAAAACAAATGACTCTCCCCGTCCGTCTGTCCGTCCGGCGGTGGCTCGCGATGTCCCGCGGTGTCCCGCGGTGTCCCGTGGTGTCCGGTGGTGTCCCGTGGTGTCCCGTTGAGTGAGATCGATACTGAGATTGATAATGAAATCGATCGTGGGATCAATAGTGAGATCGATGGCGATATCGATAACGAGACCGATGTGGTGCCCCGAAGTGTCCCGCAGTGTTTCAAAACGTGAGATCGATAGTGAGATCGATCGTGAGATCGACAGGCAGGTGTCCCGTGGTGTCCCGCGGTGACCCGTTGAGTGCGATCGATAGTGATATCGATAGAGAGATCGATGTGGTGCCCTGACATATCCCGTGGTGTCCCGTGGTGTTTCTAAAAATGAAATCGATAGTGAGATCTATAGATCGTCGAGTGTCCCGTGGTGTCCCGTGGTGTCCCGTTGAATGGATCGATCTTGAGATCGATATTGATATCGATAATGAGGTCGATGTGGTGTCCCGAAGTGTCCCGTGGTGTCCTGTGGTGTACTATGGTGTCCACTTGAGCGAGATCGATAGTGAGATCGATAGTGGGGCCGATGGTGAGATCGAGAGGTGTCCCGCGGTGTTCCGTCGTGTCCCTTGGTGGATCGATAGTGAGATCGAAAGTGGAATCGACAAGTGTCCCGTGGTGTCCCGTGGTGTCCCGTTGAGTGATATCGATGGTGAGATCGATTGAGTCAGATGTTGGTTCACCCCCCTCTCCCCCCCCACAACCTCCATATCACCCGAAGGGTTGTCGTATAGGCGTGCCTATACGCATCACCCCGTGGCCAAAGCGGAAAGTAAAATTTCCAGATCTCACCAGGGAGTCCCAGAGCCTCCGAGAGAGCAAGGGGCCCATCATTTTTCACGAGATCTCTGTGGCGGCAAAGGACGCCGCCGAGGTTCAAAACAAGTGCGCCGCCGGACCAGATTTCACCATCGAGTTTCAATAGAAACCTCGCGGGGCGCGAGAGGGGCACGACGAAACTTCCAGGGAGGGTGGGCTGGGAGCACATGCCCTCGAGCAAAAAAAGACGCAGGTCACGACCACTCTTTGGTGCTGTTCCGCATTTACCAATAAACAGGGACCATGCCTATACGCATCACCCCGTGGCCAAGGCGGAGGGAGACAACTATCAAGATCTCAACAGGGAGCCCTCGAGCCTCCGAGAGAGCAAGGTGCCCCATCTTTTTTTCACGAGATCCCTGTGGCGGCGCAGGACGCCACCGAGGTTCAGAGCAAGTGCGCCGCTGGACCCGAAAGAGGTCACCACTCAATGTCACTTGGAACCTCGCGAGGGCCGAGGTGGGCACGACGAAACTTCCGCAATTGCCAAAATAAACCATCTCAGGGAGGGTGGGTGGGTACTATCCTCGGCAGACCCCAAAACACGTGTTGTTACATCCACGCGCGAGAGATCACTCATAATTCACGAGCTGCTCGGGTATTCGAAGAAGCACGGGCCAAGCGGGAGCACAACTCTACAGGGTCCTCCTCAGCCTTTTTAGTGAGCCAGCCGCGGGGCCCATCGAAACCAGACAAGGTAAAATGGGGGCGGCGGGTGCGGCAGCAAAGTCTAGCTGAGCGGCAATCTCCACATCCTCGAGGTCCGTACGAAAGCCAAGAAAACAAAACGGTTTCTTCCATCTCTCTCCGAAAATGCAAAACACGCGTCGGCAACCAATGCGCCTCGCCACGTCCGAGCCTTCTGCAAACGGGGCAGTAACCAAATCCGGGGCGATGTATGATTCCCAAAAGTCGCCGGCAACTGCTGCTGCATCATTTGTTCGAGCAAGCTGCTACTGAAATCACTTCCGATCCACGCAGCTTTCTTGTC